TTTTTTTTTTTTTAACCCTATAATACTGCCAATGCAAAACACCACGCTTATCTTTGTCTGCTGCCAAGGGCGTGTCACCATTACAGTCGCCGACGTGTTAAACAAAGAATGTACCTTAAAACTAAGGCAGTTTTCTACTTCTTATAAACTAGTAAAAGCACATGCTGTGCGACAAAGTGGAATATGCAGTCCGTGGTTAAGAAATAAAGCGTCATTGTCGTATAAAAACTGTTGAGGAACGGGGTTTTCCACAGAAGTATTTCTTACAATGCCTCGCAAAGTCTTTCCGTTCTCAAGATAAAATAAATACTGTTTTCCTTGCACAGAATTTGTCAAAAACTAGATTCTCCGATATTGAGAGTCCATATGGGTCTGAGGTGTTTATTTCTCTCTGTACTCTACAAACCAGACAAAAACCATTCCTATCTTCATCAGGATTTTAAAAAACTTGAAAGTATAGTTTTTTAAATTTGGAAGCAGTTTGGAAACTGGAATTGAGGTTTGCCTAATTTTGAGGAAAGCCTAGGAACAAAATTTCTTCAGATTTATATTTACGGTTTCGACAAGTCGTGTTGTAATCATTGCAAGTTGGCATTTATTGGCTGCCGTTGCTCATTTGCTGCAGCCAGTATATCCAGCAAAAGCGGTGAGTTCACCAAGGTAAAAGAATGAGGAGGATTTGGCAAACTAAAGGATACAACAATTGCTTCTTTGCTTTCATTTGCGCAAGGAGAAATACAAGCAGATAAGCCCTCGAGCATATAGAAACAGTGTTTTACAGATCAAGCATTTCAAGAAATGTAGTTTCTGAGTCCAAAAAGTTAAGGTTTAGCAACACATTTTAGAGGATAGCATAAGAAATTTAAGTGTTTACATTCTTCACGGTAAGGTAGGCAAGCTATACAGAAATGCTTATTATTTAAGCAAGGACTCGAAAACAACACTCTCGGAAATTCTGTAGCTGGTTCTTTTGCCAACTAGTTAACGCTTATCCTAGTCTTTCTTCGTTATTAGCATATATTGGGAATCTGCAGCTAAAATATTTTCACTTGCTATTTTTATGTTTTTTTGAGCTTACCGCCCTTTATGTGGAAATTTGTCAAGGCTTTTGTGCAGTTCGTTGTTAAAACAGTTGAGGAATAAGCAAAAATTATAGAAAGGGAACTGGCTTTTGCTGTATTTGATTTTGTTCTTTTTGTTACAAGTAACTTTGGAAATAACGGATTGTGAGCATATGAGGAAGTCAGCTAAGAGTTGTGAAATCTTTTTTAGTATTTCTTTAGGAAATTTTTTGAGAAGTTTTTGTATATGCAGTTCCTTGTTTACATGAGCAAATACGTTTTCTAAAATAAATGTTGTCGTTTTTCTGATTTTTCTTTCATTTATCTATTTAATGTCAATTGTCCTACTCTTATAAATGTTTTAGGGTTGGTGAATTGTTTGCAACATTAGCAGCAGCTTCGTCTTTCAATACTCCGTTTATTCCGAGAGATCGTATATCATCAAAATTATCGCCTAAGCAACGTTCATTCTCTGGTGATCGCTACTCCGATCATGTTGCATTAATTTCTCTTTTTAATGAGTGGAGGGAATGTTCCGAAGCAGGACCGTTGGAGGAAAAGAATTTCTGTGAACATTTTTCTCTTAGCTCAACTATACTGCGCATGACTAGGTTGGTTTAAGTGCGTCCCATAGCTTTTATTTCCCTGCTTTTAAAAGCCGTTCACTTGAATTGCTCTCCTACTTGTTTTCTCAGAACGTTTTCTACAGAGATTTGAAACGGATTTTCTCTTAAAGGGTGGTACTCTGAAGTAGCCAATAGTTTATCCCGAGGACTCATTAGTTCATTTGTCTTTCTCGGTTTCTGAATCAGAATTTTGTAGTTTTCACTTTGTCTTAGTGTTTATTCAGTTTTTTAGCGACGCCAAACGGCAGTTGACTGAAGTTATGGTGAATAATTCCGGATTTTCTGAATCGTTGTTCACTCCAACTACTGTTTCGAATAGGGGAAAGGATTTTAACCTTGATTTTATTATCTCACTTCTCGTTTATGGTATTGCTTTAAATCATTGTATAATAGAGCAAAAATTGTAAGAAAGCAAAATTTTTTTACGTGTTTATAGTGTGAAGTAGCATTTTAGAGTAATATTATGCTGGCCTCGAAAATTTGTCATTTATTAGAGCAGTACCTTGAACTGTTAAACAAAATCTTGTGTTTCATTTTATAAAAAGGATTCTTTTGGTTCCAATTAACAGCGTTTGGATTTTTGAAACTAATTTTATTTAGCTTTGTATCCTAACGTATGTCATCATCGTGACAAAAGAAGAGTGTATACTTTGGAGCTTGCTACGGCATTGATGAGCAAGCAGTCAGTCAATGTGCCGTTGCATAGTGCAGATATTATCTCGTTCCCTTCTCCGCTATTTGTTTTCTCAGAAAAAGTTAGTTTTATCCCGTTTTCTCAGAAAAAGTTAGTTTTATCCCCCTTGTCGTTATATATACACCCATGTGTTTCTTCTTGTCTTCTCTATTACAGCTTCGTACGCGGGTCATATCTTGTGTTCAACTGTCCAATATTACACCGCTGCAATTGTTACTCTTTGGAAGCCGTAAAGTCGAAGCACTTGGTCCTTCGCTCGTGAAATTAGATGATATGTAGGTTTAATTATATCGTTATATATATATATTTATATAATTATATATATATATATATATTTTATTTATATATGATACAAATTATATTGTTTAATAAGTGAGCGTGTAATTCAGTTGCATGCAAAATTTTACAAATTCTGTTTCAGTAGTATTTTTCTAAGAAATCAGTTTTTCCCGGGCTTACAAAGGAGAAGGAAGGGAGGAAGGGGGATAGTTTTATGAAACGCGGTAAAATTAGCAAGGTAAAGTCCTAATAATGCTGAGAAGAAACTGAGCGAGGAAGAGAAAAAAGTAAACTTGATTTCCTACATTATTTTCTAGTTCCCGGCAGATTTTAGGTTTTGTGAAAGTCCTTAATAAAAGGTCTTCCTGACATAGTTCTTCGAAATAAATTATTGTTTTTAGCCTGGCAATTTTTTAAGGATTCCTTTGAAAATGGACGCTACTATAGCCGCTCGCATTGTAGCACTACGTCCGTGCATAGAAGCTTTACTTGTAAGAACTTGCCTGAGTCCTGAAAGTGTGGGGAGTCCGTCAGGCAAAGATGCTTGCTTGATTGAAATACTTCGCCAACTCTCTTCACCATACGCTTGGCGCTCTGCAAACCAAGGAGATACGGGTGCCTCCGAAGTTGCTCCGCGAGCTGATCTGCCATCCAATGAATTAAGGAATGAAAGGTGTTAAACATTTTTCAGTTTTTTAGATTACTCCTAATGTTTTACCGAAGTTCTGTTTGGTTTCATTAAAGTGCTGATTTGAAGGGATTTTCTTAACCTCTATTCAGCTGTTTACTGTTTAGAGTTCCCTTTAAAATTAGACTTGATTTTATTCATTCAGTAAAATTTTTATGTGGACCTCTTAAATTTTTTGCTCAGATAATTATTTGCTTTTATTACTTTTCTCACATTGTATGGTTTAGAATAACTTACGGACGCGGAAGAGGTAAAGACTGGACATACCGTTACAGTTCATACAGTGGAGGAAGTGGAGGAAGTGGGGGAAGTTACAGTCCTTCGTGCAGGATTAATTATGGACAGATGGGTTGGTCTTTTGTAATTGAAGACACCAAAGATTTCTTGTTACCTTTTTAAACCGTAGTTTCTTTAATTTGGATTTTTAGAGGGGGCTCGTTATTTAGATGAAGTTTTTTCACTTTTTTTGTTTGTAAAACTCTCATACCTTAAGACAAGATTTAAAATCATTACCGGATGATTTTTATTTTTATTTGCTAGTTTATAATAAACACTACTTGGTTCAAATTACTTGTTTGAACGCAGTTCTTTGCATTTGAACTCTTTGAAAATTTAATTTTACTTTCTATTTCTGTTTTGGCTTATTAAGGAAGTAGACACTTTCTATGACACAGACACATTTAAAGTTGGCTCTGTTGCATTCTTGAAAGGAGGGCTATTGTGCTTTGTTAAATTTTTCAGAGGTTACTAGGTTGTTTGATTTGCTCGTCAAAGTCTTGATATAACCATGTGAACCAAAAAAATTGACTTTTATTTGAGCCGAATTCTTTTCTGAACGGAATCTTTCTTTACTTCAATATTTGCGACTGAAAAATCTAACATCGGTAGTTAACCCCTACAGGTTTTCTTGTATTCGGGATACTTAGTATGAAATAATATATCGGTGCGTTTCAATATGTTTTTCATTATTCGTCACAATTGTTAACTTATTTTAAGGTGCGGCTGCTGGTTACGGTTACAGTGGCGCTGACAATGGAACTTGGCCTCGAGCATCAGTACAAGGAACAGGTTTCGGCAATGCAAATGTTGGCAGCTTTTTTTTCAGTTCTTCATATCGGTCGCATCCTAATAGTTACGCCCCCTATGACACTTACCGATCGTTTCCCAACAATTATCAGTATAACACGAGGAGAGGAAGGGCACCCAGGGGTGGCATCTTTTTTTCTTCAAAAAGAGGGCGGTACTAATTGCCAGTAAGAACTTTCTTACTTGTAGTTAAGTACATCTTGTTTTAATTGTCAGGTTATGCAATTTCTTGCTCGCGTTTTTACGATCTCAAGTAACTGTTATTTGTACATAACGTAATGGTAAATACTGTTAGATTTGGCTCTGACTTTCTTTTGGAATTGTTAGTAGTGAGTCCTCAGTTGTTTAGGTTTTACTTTTGAAACTGTATATGGAGAAGAAGAAATTAGACAAAGCTAGGGTTAAAGAAAATGTTTTTTGTACGAAAAGAGTGTATTGTTTTGGAGGTTTTCAGACCTTCCTTCGCTTTAACTTAGTTTTATTGCTGTTGTACTAGTTGATTCATAGGAGCTTATGTGATTCTGTTGAGAAGTTTTTTTTGTGAAGATTTTGCTTTACAGTATTTTTTTCTCGGTTTAGATGATATGGGTGGAGATCAAGGGTGGTTCATGATTATTTGGTTTTTTACCGTTTTAAGAACAGATTTAGTCCACTTAAACAGTTTAATAATTTGCTGGTCACCTTGGTGTTGTGAAGTTCCAGGTCAGTTTATTTTATTTATTATTTTTTCTTTTTATATCAGTTGGTTTTTGTTGATGATAGGATTTCTGTCTTTGTTTAATGGCGGCGTTAGTTTATTATTGTTGTTGATCGCTTGCTTATCACTACTTCTTCCAGAATTATTTCATCTTTCCTTGTCTACTTCTTTATGTTCTTTGTGTACTGTTTGCATATTCAGGAAGTTACCAGTAATACTTTATGGTTCATGCGAGGTACTATGGCGGTGTTTTCGTGCCAGGCCATCTTAGTTTAAAAATCTCCTATAATTTTTTTAATGCAGTCTTTGTGATAAAGTTGTCTATTGCTTCGAAGGGAAGTCTAATAACTGGAATAAGATATTTGAAAGTTGTGTAATTACACTGTTAAAATGACATTCACTGTAAGTTTTCGTTGCAAATGACATGGGTCAGGTAAGCGAGTGGTAACGGGCAAGTTTGAGAATTTTATTCTACCTTACCCATATGTGGATGCTTAGTGCCTTGTATATGATTTGAGATATATTGCGAACAAAAGTGAGTTAGGAGTTTAGGCGTGACTAGTCGAATGTATGACGATAGGACTGAAACAAGTTAGACGGTCGCTTACGTGTTTGTCATGAGTCAGTAGGGGATTTACTGTTGTCTGTTCGTCAGTGTTGTACTGCGTGGCTGTTCCTGTGGTTATTTAAACGACGGTAGGTGGTTACAGTTTGCAAGCTTTGCAAGATTTTCGGTAATGAGAAAGCAATTTGCATGAGGAAGTCGGTAATTAGACTTTTGAATGGGATTTCACTAAGGTGAGTTTGGTTTATGTCAAACGCTTTGTCTAATATGGGTCACTAGTTACAGAAGTACTGCAGCTTGCAGATATTTTAAAGTTGGCAGCGGTTTAAAGGTAATTTGCTCAGTAGCTCGAGCACTGCTACTACCGCCT